ACTCAGCTTGTTTTTTTTCCTCTATTCAACAGTTCTTGTGCCATGGCAAACAAAAGATAGACATTCTGATTTGCATTACTGTTTAGTTTGTGATATCAATTGAGTTTGTTTTGCAGAGATCTGTGGGAAAAGGTAGAGAGATCTAAATCCCATTTCTCCTCATTTGTTTCTGTGCTGATGAAAGCTCCAGAGAGTTCTGTTTCTTTCTCCCCAGCATCTGCTGGAAGCTGGGATAATGGTGGTGTTCAAGGGACTTTCCCTTCTCGGGACAGCAATGGGATGCGTGAGCGCGCTTGCACCGTGGGCTGAGCAGTGCTGGGAGCTGTGCTGTGCCAAGTACCCGTTCACTGTACTGGGAACTGAGTGCACTTAGTGCTTCTCAAGATCACATCTTGTATTATTAAAAGATTATAATTATGTGACCTTTTAAAAATTCATGCAGGATCACATTTCACAAAAGAAACATTTGTATACTTTCAGATGAGTCATTTCTACTATGCCCTGTCAAACCACACTCAAAGCAGCAATTCCACTTAACAGAACTGCTTCACTAATGTATCCAAGGACAACACTTGGTCATTATGTTTCAGAGGATTATTGAAAAATTGTATTTTGGGTTGTTCTCAAAATAGAGAAATAAAGCGAGAAGCAGATCTGTTAACCCTTTTTAAAAGCAAGTCAATTAAAATTTAATTGACTGAAATTAGATTACTATTTTTGTATTTCAGACAGCATATGCGAGTAAGGCATCCTGCTCATCATCATGAAAGACAGTGTTAGAGGGAGAGCGAGCAAAAAATAGCTCGTGTTGCACTGACTTCACTGACTATGCTTCAGAAAGTTGTGTGCCCATGCAATGACATATGATTTCTGCCTTCTGTAAAGAAGTATAACATTCATTGGCTTCTTTGTGATTTTTTTTTTTTTAATTTTTTTTTTATTGTGTCCCATTAGACACTTCCAGGTCAGTGAAGGGGTAATTCCATGTGGTTTTGTGTCTCTATAAGATCACTTGAGCACTCAACACACATGTTCAAATAGTTCCTGGTCTTATCAGGAATTCTACAGGAAAGAAAAAAATAATGTGCTCAGCCTTAGCCTTGGTCAAAACCCAGTGCGTGTCCTAGTAGTGTAGAGCTGACAACAAAGGAATTCAGCTTTCTGACTAGGGGATGTTTTTGGGTTTTATTTTCCCCATTTCCATTAAAAGAGTGAAATTTATCTATGTAAAATAAGGTCTAGTAAGAAAAAGTGTTTTTCAGTTAATACACAGCTTCTGAATCTACTTATAAATTGTATTGAGTGAAAACAACTACAAAATTGTACAAACCTAATGATTTTGTGTGTGACAGACATACCAGTAACTCATACTTAAAGTATACATTCTGAGGCACGATCAGGTAATTCTAATCTAGTTAAATAGCCCATAGAAAATATACTCCTTCTCAAAAATAACGTATTTATCTTTTTTGTGGTATCTTTTAATTCCTTAACTTTGTCTTTTTTTTTTTTTTCCTTTTTACATTTGAGTATAATTTACAGTATATTTACGTACTTCTTGGCCTGCTGACACTAATTTAACTCTTTACTCTAATTCACTTTTGCTTTGGGAATCGGTGGATGCTTTTTCTACCTAATAACACTTTTTTTTTTGCTGCTGAAATCTCACTGCTGCTAATGAGATTTGTACAGTTTAAAAACTCCCTTTACTAAGCTACTGTTTTACCTGCTTAAATAAACCTTTCCTGACTCACTGAGGCTGCCTTTCACATTGCCACAGGATCTCTTTTCCTGAAAGATGATTTCTGGCATTTTGTTCTCCATAATGATTAGTGCGGGGATGTTAGGTTTTAGCTTCCCTCTAATGCTATCTACTCCCCAAAGACAAAATTAAATCTTCATTTGAAATATGTATGTTCTTCCAGTTCCAGGGGTTGAATAATTCCTTTTTTTTTTGGTGTTCCCTAATAAAGGAAATGCTTATAGCTTTATCATCTTTCTTCCCAAATGATTTTGCCACATATGTAGAAATAAATGGAAAAGATAAAAATTTTAGCTCTTCTTTTCTTCAAATTTTTGTTTTCATAACTATTGCAGACATTTATCTATTTCTTTCCCCTGCTGACTCCTTGTGAAATGTGCTTGTTTCTGCTATAAAATGGTAGTATTTAAGAGGGTTTTGAGTCTCAGGGGTTATGGGATGAGGTTTAGATTCCTACTTCTCAGCCTGTTCCTTCCTAATGAATTGTAGGAAAGCTCCAGGATTCAGAGAGATTTCTTTTAAGATCAGGCTTGAGATTTCATAAAATTCCATGAGAAAAATAGCTCTCAAAATCCTGAATTGGAATGGTTTGACATATCAGAGGAACAACATATGTTTCTGAACTTCTCTCGGGTTGAGCTGGATCTGCTCAGTAACAGCTCAAAGATCTTGGTGCTACTAATTTACAATTTTGAAGTTTTAATTCTTGTTCACAGTAACCCTATCCACAGTGTTTCACTTAGGTCTCAAGGAAGCTGTTGTTGGTCCATCTCTATTTTCTATTAAGTTATGGTCATGTGGTCTTTTTGGTCTGCTATTATGGCCTTCCTTTCTCTGTTCATGGGAAACATGAGTATCACCTCAGAGCATAGTGTTCTGTATGGTGTGACTTACTGAGTGTGATGTGGAAAGTGCACATGGAAGTGACTGAAGTGACTTGACAACTATTTCTTTTGAAAAAATGACTAGGGAAGGAAGAGCATAACTGGAAGGAAAGAGAGGCAGTCTGAAACGAGCTGCCTTGAGAGATATTTATAATCATGTAATTCTGGCTTTTCCAGGTCAGATTTATCCAGTTCCCGTATGATGATGCTCAGTTGCAGCAAAGTAATATCTTATCAGGACTCTGCTGTCAGAGTACATTTTGATGATGATATGACTCATCACTTCTTCAAGGCATTAGTGCCCTAGCTTCATCTCGGTGAAAATAAGAATGTTTATTGCTTCCCAGAAAGGGGAAAAAAAAAGAGATAAAATATTCCAGAAGCCTATTTAGTGTCTGTGTTCACTGACCTCCAATGAGCTCTGTGAGCATCCTTTTGTACCAAACTTTCTCTGCTGCTTTGAACCCCTCTTCTCCTTTCCAGGTTTAATAATCTTCTGAGGCCAGGTGGGTCTGGGTTCTGTGGTCCATATTTGAGTGCTTGTCCCCCTTTCTGAATTCAGCAGTAATCGTACATAAACATGTAGTGCTGTCAGGTTATCTCTCAATGTTAACTTTTACTTGGAGAAATTCAAACAGTACAAATTACCTGTGGAACGATGTCAGCTGCTGCGCTGCCCGTACGGCTCCTCTGTACTTTTGTGGGTTTAGTGAGGGAGGCAGCAATTAGCTTTTAACCTTTTATTTTGCTTTCAGCCTGGCTGGTATTTTTGTTCTCGCTTCATTTCTGTTTTTCAACCAAATGGGAGATTTTGTTCTATATCCCTAAAAGTAAAAAAAATAGTGTTTCTTTAGAACAAAGAGGGAAAACAAATTGGATTTAATTTTCTGTCCATTAGGCTTATGTTGTAATTGATGGTAAGATGTTCCCTCTTGCACACATTGTTTACAGTAGAGTATATGCCATAATGTGTAGTGGCTGAGCTAAAGTTCACAGGGAAACCAGACTCAGATATACTGTGCTTAATGTTGCAAAAATTAGAGGAGTTACCAAAACCCCATAAAATAAAATTCATCTGTTAATCTGTGCTTTTTAAAAATATTATTTGCCCAAATGAGGTCTAGTTTTAGTTACCTTTTTATAACAGTTTTGCTTTGGAGTGAATCTCTGTCACTACTTATGTTCTGGTAGCAGTAATGATGACCATCTTGAATAACCTTTAGTAGAAGTTTGCACGAATGCAATTTTTCATTTTAAATTGTAATACTACTAACACATCAGTCCCAGTATTTCAAAAAGATATAAAAGGGGTTCAAGCAACTTCTGACATAGTTATCACCGTTAGCTGAATCTGGTAAGTATATAAAATAAGATGTAGCATCAGATGCAGCAGGAACCGGTGGGTGAGCTGAAGGAATGCTGTCTGGATTGAAATCTCCCCTCCTCAGTCATGTAGCAGTGCAGCAGAGTGCATAGAGAGGCTGACCTCCTCTCTTCCCTCCCAGGTGGATCAGCTCCCGAGAGAGAGAGGCAGCAGGAGCTATTGTGAACACTGTGCATTCTGTCCCCCCATGGGGATGTGCCAGGCTTGGTCTGGGAGGGAAGCAGACAGATTCCCCTCTCAAAGAGTAGTCATTTTTCTTGCAGAAAGGTCCTTTAGTGCTGTATATAGTAGCAGTCTTCCAGAGAGCTTTTTTCAGTTAGGAAATACGAAGTTGTTCTTTCACCTGAGTGCATTTAATCTAGTAATTATAATTTTCATAGGTTTATTTTCTTACAATGGTTTTAAGAGTTTTTCCTGGCCCTTGATGGTAACACTTCCCAGAAACCAACAGGGAGTGCAGCTCAGCTACCAGCTTGATGACAATTTTCTCATTAGACCCCTATGTTGGACCAGTTATGACCACTGAATAGGGACGGAATCAGTGATAGTTTGTCTGATTTTTATCTTTTTTTAATCTTTTCAAATTGATTGCTAGTTGTGTTTACAGGACAAAGCTAACTATGCTGTCTTCAACAGGAAAAAAATTAATGTAGAAGAAGGAAGCAAGTTAAGCATTTAAAAAGAAACCACTTTTAGGTAGAAATTGCGCAGACATTTCACCTTGGAAAAGCATATTTAAGACAGTTTTCCCATATGCTAAGACATTTAAAAACAGATATAGTCCATATGCTAAAACGGAGTTATACCTCAGAGTTTCATGATGAAAAAAATATATCAATTATACGGAGTTTCTAGATACAAAATATATCAATACTATTACTATTTTTGAAGAGTTATAGACTAGTCTGTTTAATTGTATGTATTTCGTTACTGACATCAAATAGTAAATCTCTCTGTATGTTTGTACTAGGCTGGGACAAATGGTTATATGGCTCCAGAAATCCTGAAGGAAGAAGATTACAGCTATCCTGTTGACTGGTTTGCTATGGGATGTAGTATTTATGAGATGATTGCTGGGCGAACGCCATTCAAGGATTTCAAAGAAAAGGTCGGTAAGGATGAGGTTAAAAGAAGAACTCTGGAAGATGAGGTGAAATTTGAACACGCCAAGTTTACAGAGGAAGCGAAAGATATTTGCCGGCTGTTTTTGGCTAAGAAAACAGAAAATCGTTTAGGAAGCAGGTATGTTTTACTTCTCAAACACAGTAAAAGCCAGATCAAAGCTGCTAACAATATTGTTATTTTACATATTACACAAAATGAGGTTAAATCTTGACTTTCTACAGTGTACTGAGTTTTCCCTTTCACTTCTAAGAAGAGAGAGGTAGAAAGTTTTGAAGATAATATGGGAATAAGGAATTTTGTTGCAATAGTGTGATTGTCTGTCTTCACCCCAGACTACTCGTAGGACTTGCCTTTTAGATATTTTGTGGGGTTAGACTCTATATAGTTCTGGGAGAAGGGAGTAGCCCATTTCTCTTCCATTTTCTTTCCTAAAGGTAAAGGATATTTGAGTAGATACCTGCATCTATGCTAGTGCAGACTGAATGCACAATCTGAGGCTGTATCACTTACTGGAATGATGTGGGCAAAAATCCAACTCTGCAATGTGGCTTCTTCCCTGCAGATACCTAACTTGCAAGGCTGTGTCATTGGCTTCTTACTGAAGAGACCTTAACCCTTCTGCTTTACTCAAGTGCTTTTAAAAAAATCTTGTAGAGGTTCTGGTCTTCCTGACTCGTCCCAGGGAGAAAAGGGAGGAAAAGAATTTTGGGCACAAATTCTCATAAAGCAAAATTTTTTTGGGGACTTGTTGATGAAGACTAATGGGTTTGTACCCGACTTAGCGATTTCAAGTAAATGTTTAACAAGAAGAAAATTGGAAAGATAAGCATTGCAATATTTATCTTGTAATATCTCTGATCCCTCTAATACGTGTGTGTATAGAAATAATTTAGTGCATTTCTAGTGAGACAAATTGGGGGTCTACAATTGCGATACAGACAAGAGAAATATAATTAAAATGTAAAAAACAAAATAGGAAACTGATAGTACCCATCTTTAGAATGCACCATGATTTGAATCACTTATGGATACAAAGGTATGTATCAGGTGATTTTCAAATCTAAAAGTGGAATAGACACAGGGACTTAATGAAAATGCACAGATAGTTTGCTGAATCTATATTCTAACAATGTGGAACAGTTTTGAAAATGTTAGCCATGCGTTTGCCTGAAAGAATTAACTTTCTTTAAAGGTAATATATCATTAATATATATATTCTTATTATTCCAGTGCTAAATGAAGGCTACTCTTTGTGCCTGATGAGTTTTCACAATAACTCTGCGAGGCTGCAGAAAAAAAATATTTTCAACAGCACAGAGAGTATGTTTGATTAAAAAAAAACTGTTTCATTTTTAATGTTTAAAGAGCTTATTTTAAAAATAAATTTAATACAAAAACCTTTAGCGCATTCTACCTTACAAGTCAGCATGCTTTGCAGACATTGTCTTGCAGCATTTTGTGAAGTAAACAAATTTCAGAGTAGGGGAAAATGAAATCTAGAGATTCTAAGTGACTTGGTCAAGTTCGTTCAGCAAGCCTGAAGCAAAACCAGCAACAGACTATTCACTTACTGTAACCACATTCTCTTTGCCAAGGGAATCATTTGCAATCATTCTGTCTCCTTACTGTTACATTATTTCTCAGCAATGGGAGACGTGTACACAGAAAGGTAATTATTTTTAATTTACTACTATTTAAGATAGTCTTACTTTTATGTGCTGTACTTGGAGAAGGAAAACGATAGGATGTATATACCATGTCTGGGCATGATACAGAATAAAAGCTCGCATGTACCTCTTAAACAGGGTGATACTATTCAGGACAGCTCATCCGTATGTAAAGATTAGTGCTGTAATTCTACTAAGGACAGCAAGACCTTGGGTTATCTACATAAGTGCCTGTTGCATAAGTTAAAGCTGCTCAAGGACAGCTTTACTTTGTACACCTGGCCTTTTAAAATACTCATTTATTGAAGACTCAATGTCACTGATTAACTCAGGAAAGATGTAAAACTTTTTCTCCGCTCAGGCTTTTTGGGATTGACATCTCAAATCCCAAATCTGTGAAGTGATTTTATTTTTTAGTGGAAGAATACAAAATTGATGGAGTTCAGATGAGTTCACTTGCTCTTCTATTTAAGTTATGTAAACATGCAGTTTACGCAGGAAGAGCTCAAGTTCATCTCCAGCTGGTTGGAAGATGCCTCAGTTGGTTCCAGTAGATGGCGTTCCTGTAGGTTTTTTAACTTTTTATGGGTTTGACAGTGTCAGGAAATACATCAGGAAGAGAAACACTGCAGCAATCCATTCTGGAGCCTTCACCAGCTTCTAGTGCTTTTAGTTAATGTTACAGAAAGGTAAAGCAAAATACGAGTGAAACCTTGTGAGTCCATCTACCCAGCAGGATTGTTGGCACTACTAGCTCACTAGTGTCCCAGGATGCTAATTAATTTGAATAGCAACTCTAATGCACTTCAAATTAACAGTGTATGTAAATAAATCACACCAAGCTTGAGGGCTGCTCAAGTGCTTTGTTATCAGTAACTAGCTAGTTAAGTTAGGAGATGATTTTGTACGACTGAGTATATACAGAGGTCATCACCCCTGTTGGCTTAATTTATACATTCATAATTGTGTTCATATGGCTCCTTTGGATTGAAAACATCATTTTTTCATTGCCCAGGGTGCCTGGATGGCAGCATCTGTTGTTCTTCAGGCTGTGATTTAGCATCCTGGTCATGGCGTTGTGCAGTAGTTAGCGGCTGGTGGTGACCTGCTCAGAAGAACCAGGCAGCAGAGGCACAAAATGCCAATTTCCTAACGAGACCTGGAATGGGCAGCTGGTAGTTCCATCTCAGCTGTGCCAGGTAGCACCAAGGCAGGCTAGAAACATGGCAGGACAGCATCTGAAGAACTGGCAGTAGTGGCAGGCTGTAGGAGCTGTTCTGCACACTTAGCATAAGGTCTTAAAAAAGGAAGATTTTCTATAGTAACACCAAGCTGCTACTTCTATATGGTGCTTCTACACGTTTGCAAAGATACAGACTTCTTAAAGGCTTGCATTGCATTTTGTTCGTAGAACACTGTTTAGAAATACGTAAGGGCTCAAACTTTGCTTTTTTTTTCCTTTTTTTTTTAAGGAAGTGGGAAAAGAAAAAAAGCAACTGGTTAGCAACTAACATTTTCTGAGGCCAAAAAAATTTGGGTTTTCTACATTAGCGTTTTCAAGACAAATGTATCCATAAATACATTAAAAAAATACATAGGTGTAGAAAATACTCTCTTCTCCTTTCACTAGAATTCAAAACTCAGACTTTGCATGCCTTGATGCTAGAGGCCCAGTTGAAGAGTTATGGTCCTTGGTCAGGCTTTAACAAGCACACGTTTGAAGGCCAGGTTATTCTTAAAATCAAAATATCCTAGAAGTCCTCTCTATGGGTCTGCAGTGAAACAATTCATTGTTTCTTTTATAGCAAAAGTTCTCCCTGAGGTCTGTAGTTGCTTTCCTTAAGATGTATTTAAAATACGTATTTACAATTATTTTAGTCCCTTCTGGCTTCTGTTCTTGGGTTTTAACAGTATTAATAAAGGATTGTGTTTGTAATAGTGGTACAACACTTTGCTAATGTTGTAAGTTGTGAATCTCTTGTTTTAAATCTTTGTTCATTTATGAGTAGTTCATTTGAAGGAGCAGACTCACTAAAACTGTGAATGTATTAGAGCAACATAATTGAGTTTTATCATGTAAACATATAGCTGCTTTGATAAGATAAAATCAGAAATGTCATTTGTCACCAGTTTCCTATTCAGACTGTTGTTCCTCCAAGTCAATCCCTAGATAGATTAACCCAATGTACCCCAGTCTAGAATTTAATAGATATTCTTATCCTAATAAATATAGACCCAACCACTGGACTTCCATCGCTGGACAGTAAATCCAGTACTGCCCCTCCCCTTCCTGCTGTGTCTTCAGTTCTGGTTAAAGGGTGTCTTTGGGTATGGGTGTCTCGGTGCGCTGCCAGGAGCAGCTCTCCCCTGGCTCCTTGCCCAGACTAATTTACCCTGAGAGGTAGAGTAATGAATAATGGGATTGGGATGTTCTCTGCTCCTCAGCTTTGCTTATATTGTGCAATGCAACGGGTCTTGGTTAGGAAAAAAGGAATTGCCTTGCATTGTGTGTATATATGTATTTCACTTTACTTTAAAATACTCTCATGTATACAACACAAAGACATACTTGACAGCAAAACATCATACCAATTAACAAACTTTTGCTTTATTGCAGAAATGAAAATGATGACCCAAGAAAACATAGTTTCTTCAAAACAATAAATTTCCACAGGCTAGAGGCAAACCTTATCGACCCTCCGTTTGTGCCAGATCCATCAGTTGTCTATGCCAAAGATCTTGCAGACATTGCTGACTTCTCTGAAATACGAGGAATTGAGTTTGATGACAAAGATAAGAAGTTCTTCAAAAAGTTCGCGACAGGTGCTGTCCCTATAGCCTGGCAGGAAGAAATTATTGAAACAGGACTGTTTGAAGAACTGAATGATCCTAACAGAGTAGATTCCGGGGGATACGCAAATGGAGGTGAAGCTAAGTCAGGTGTTTGTTTGTTGTTGTAAATATCACACCATTAACAAAAAGTGTAGAAACCAGCTCAGAACTTCCCATATTCTGACACTGTTTCAGAAACTCAGTGCGACTGTTTAAGAAGAACCCATCAGTGTAATATGACATTGACAGGCTATGTAGGACCACCAGCTGTATAAACTATATTATTTTCCTTTGCTGTAGCAAAGGAGATAATATTTTTGTTTTATTGGAGGTTTATCAAGATGAAGAACCATATTTCTCTAAGAAACATAGAATGATAGAAATTCTGAAATACAAAGAGCAATAATAGAGTGAAGAGGCAACACCTTTTGAAAATGACTGATTACCATTTTGAATACAATCGCTTCTGGTTTTCTTTCAATTTTCTTGTTATTTCTACTAACGTTTCCTCTTTGTTCTACAGTTTCCAGGAAAGATTTTTTTAATTTTCAAGTAATATTCTCAGTTAGACAATGGAGCTCATACACTATGTCAAACTTGGAATTTTATTGGTTAGCCAGTCTGTCTGTTGTTTTCTTAATTTCTCTTAGTTTTTGAATGGTTTGATTGTAATATGTTCAAATTGTCATAAAATGTAAAAAGGCTCTACATATCCCTAGGAAATAGGACCAACAGGATCAAACTCTTTTCACAGTTGATTTTAACAAAGTGAAGATAAGATTGCACCAAACGAATTTAATAAAGCATTTATTTATTATTATTACGTGTATTCTTTTAAGTGATAATACCATATACAAAGAAAATGTATTTATAAGTTCTTTTTGACAATCAATTTTAAACTTTTATCAAGTTTCCTGATAATTTTTCTGTATTTCTGTGATAAATTAAGCTACGAATAGACCAAAGCAATCTGTAACTGGCTTTTTAGAAGACATTTATTTCAATGCAATATAAATTTTAATTCAGTAGTTGCAAAATACATTATACTATTAAGTGCTGTAATGCTGGAAAGGTTAAATGTGCAAGCTGAACACTATCTTCAAATGTCCATTGATTCTCTTTTAAATTTTGATGTGTTTTATTTTTCAATTTTATGACAACCTGAATTGAATTAGTTGGAAAATTTCTGCGAATGCTTGCTACTGCTGAAGTGTATTACTTGAGAGATGCATCCTAGTGATTTTCGCTGGTAAGGAAATAGGTGGCAGTTGTTTGCAACTTTTAAAACTGACTCTGTGTGCTGTTAACTGTCATCTGTCTAACCATAATTTCCATTGACTAAAGTGGAAGTTGAAACTGCTCCATTCCTTGGAGTCCTGGGGGCTACTAATACCGCATTTCCTATTTTTCATAGAGCAAACCTCCTGCTGAACTCAAAGAGTTCTTTTATATAGGTGCTGGGATTGAACTCACACATCTGTTATAAAAGAGGAAAACCAATACACATGATGTTTTCTATAGTTGGGTCTATCATGTTCAACACATAGCGTTAGTCTTTACTTATCATCTAATAGCTCATCCCAAACATTACAGTAATCAAAAACTCTTTAGTTTTAAATACCTCAAGTGATTTAGTCACAGCTAAGTAATACATTGGTAATACATTGTGGTGTTCTAACTAGAAAAAGGATTGTTCCTTTTTTTTTTTCCTTTTAAATTTGCTTGTTCGGTGCTTTTGATACTTAGTGTTCAAGTGAAAATTATGAAGCACAGTGTTACTTAGGATTTAGTGGATAATTCTGTTCATGAATTACGAGCATATAATTGTCTGCCTTTTGAGGGGAGACTTTCTGTCAAATAGTTTAAAACAATAGAAGCCCAAGTCAGAATTCAGTTTATAATTGACAAGGATGATCCTGAAAGATTGTGAAAAGGAGAGGAGGTTGAGAGGAAAGAGAGTCATGTGGTTCTGTCACAGGTTTAAGAGAATGCTTCCACTGCTGACATCCAGTGATTTCATTTCTCTTTGCTTCCATCTGCAGAAAACTCTCACAGTGAAAGTGGTATTAGGCCAATATATTTAAGAAACCAGACAGAAAACTTAATTATATATACATTTTAAAAGACCCCTGCAAAAAAACCACAAAACCCTCTCCAAGCTTATTACAGCTAGGAGAGACCTATTAGTGCTAGTGGCATCAAACTTTTGTCCTGAATTGGTACACCTCAAATCCATATGAAATCCATTTGAATGAAAATCCATTGGAAATGCCATTTCAAAAATCCTACAGAGCCATAAAGCAGTACTCAAATGGCTGTAGGTTTTCTAGCACATAACTAATTTTTCAGTATAGACATGTTCCCATATGGAAGGAGGTTATCTATAAACAGAACCAGAATTTAATGTCACATTAAAATTGTATATCCTGTACGATACCAGGTGTTGCAAGTCTGAGGCTTTTCAAAATGTATTGCAATGCTGAGATCTGTGAATTCAGGACATCATATGCACATAACGCTACTTACAGTATCAATAAATCCCAGCAGGATGTATATTGGTGAGATACTGTAATGTTAACTGTTCCATGAATCATTCAGAGAAGTGCATCAGTAGTCTGATAATGCACAGTTTGGCACAGTGCATGACAAGAGAAAAATGTGTTAGAAATGATTCATTTTAATTTTCTAAAATCCTCTATTTCAGAACGTGGACAACTTGTGTTCGCACTATGAGCAGATAGAGCAGAGCAAAGATTATTTATGTATTTCTGTTAGCATTTTTAGTGCGTCTTTTAAAAATTAAGTTCAGCAATTTTTAAGTAATCTGTAAATTGCTGGGTGGTTCTTCCTGCCACTGAAAAGTTTCTTGTTAAACTTTCAGGAACAAAGCTATTTTAACATCCTGCTTCACCTTAACAAAACAAAGCCAGCAATCCTAAAAGATTTACGTGTCTTATTGCAGACAATGATGCTACTCATGTGAGTAAAATTCAAATGTATATGTGAGTGTGCAAGAATAGGGCCCAAGTCAAAAGTATTGACCAAGTCGTTGGATGTTTATGATAGAAAATGAGGGATGAAGTTGTGGGAGGAAAAAAACCCTTGTGGTTGTGGCATACTTAAGTTCTTGTGGCAAAAGAAAATGGTGTAATTTGAAACTGGTAATTTTTTCTTCTAGCTGTCTCTATTTTTTCTCCTTTGCCAGCTTTGTGGCGTCTCACTTGCCTGCCTTTTTTTCAGGCAGATAAGATGCATTCAAGTGTTAACCTAATCTAAAAAAACTAAATTGTGAACTCTATTGCATTAAATGTCATCTGTGAAAGGTTACTGAGTGCACTGGTCACTCTGCAGTGGTTGTACTAGCAGTGCTGTCTTCCCTGCACTGTTTTACTTGGTACTGCTATTAAAATTACTTGATAATTTTAACTGAAGAAGGCTGAAATGTGATATTTGTAATGGTTTGAAATCTGTTTCTATAAGAACATAATTTAAAGTACCCTGGACAACGCTGAAGAAAGGCTGCTGGCACCGAGAGGGTATAAAAGGAAAAGCTTTCCCTTATATCTCAAGTCCAAATTTTCTTTGATACCATCCCTGTTACCTTTACCATTACCCCGCCAATTTCAGTGGGCACAAAGAGACAAAATGAGGTTTAGTATTACCCTAATGAAATCATTGTTCCCAGAGACTGTTTATTAGTGGCAATAAAGCTCTACCTGTGTACCTTCAGTTCTATCGTGCAAAGGCTCAATTAGTCAATGAACACTTTGTGTTGCAGCAAGTAGCTCACTTTTCTATTCCAGGATGAAATAGATTTAGTAATTGGAACTTGCATGCAATTTCCAGGCTATCGAATAGCACCAGTATCAGGGAACGCGACTTTAACAGCCTTTAAGCAAACATGGTATATGTGATAATTATTTCCGCGCCCATAAACAAACATCAATACAGAAAGCGAAATGGAATTTAAGATGAGATCTCTACTTAAAGTAGATGCCTGTAATTGTGCAGTGTAGCTATAATATATGCTTTTAATATCAGCTTTGTTTCTTAGAAATAAAATGCTCATGTAAGACTGCATTTAAAATATTGTTGCTTTCACAGGTTTTAATGATATCTGTGTAGCATTTTTCTGATCTGAATATCCACATCTCTGATTAAGGTACTTAAGTATGCTCATGTCATTTACCTAAAGAGTAAGAATCGCTTCTTGTACGCTATGATAATAACTTGTATCTTTTTATTATTAGATTTTTAACACCAAAAGTTTTAAATTATTTTAATCTATTTATTCACTAATGCTTTGTAAAAAAATATTTTAATCATGCATGATTTTTTTTTTCTATAATAGGATTTAAATTAAGAGTTAAGCTCTTAGCAACTATGGCTCTCAGCACCACAGAAGTACTGAAAATCCTACCAGTTCTGGGGGTTTTGCTGGAAGCAAAGCGTACATTTTTCTCAAGTGACAAACCCATCAATTTTGAAATCTATGGATAGCAGAAATTACTGGCTTTTTATGGTATAAGACCTATCACTTCTAATAGTATGGATAAAGGTCACCTATGATCATTGTGGCGTAGGAAGTACATTTGAAACACTGCATTATGACAGCCTTAGGGAGCTTCATAGACTCATTAAGGAATGCATGGACAGAAGCTGAAAACAAATTCAATTAAGCATATGACTTCTTATAATTAGGCATTATAAGTAACTCTAAGTCTAGTATTTAATTTTAAAAATACACCAAAAGATTAATGTTTCTTAGGAAATGAATTGTTTGGTTTTTTCTTGACTTTCTTTTTATATGACTGTCTGAACCTGAGCAGAGCTAGTATAAAATTCTTACCAGTTAGCCCTCTGCATTTGCAAAACTGTGAACGCTGAGTTCCTAAGGGAGTAGAAATCTTTTAGATACCTCTTGCCTGGAAAATACAGCTGGTAACATCTCAGGTGGCATCATTTCCTTCTTGAGTTCATTTCCTTTATATGACATGGTATTCTTGTTCTTACATTTATCCCATATCCATACCCTCTTCTGCCACCTCCAGAAGGCTGGCACAATTCTGAACAAAGCCACTTCAACTTTCAGGGAAACTTAATGTTAATTCTGTAGCTTGGATAGACAACAGGTGCCATAAAGAATAGCTGTCAACACCATTTCAGTCAAATGTTACTCCAAGTGGTGAGAGCCTTGGTCGGGGGGGACACGGAAAAACTCCACGAGTCTCTTTGGAAGGACTTCTGGATATCTTAGTTCTATTCCTTTCCCTCTGACCACTTTGGTGCAGCTGCAGTGGTTAATTCCTCCCTTTCCTGTTGACCAAGTGCAAGCACAACCTGTTTTAGTAGTTCTTTTATCCTGTTTGTGCTTTTTATCCGTGCTTTTCAATGTCTGAGCTTTGTCAGTAGGCCAATTTCTTCCAAGTGTTTTGTTTTCTGATTAAAGTACACCAACATGGTGCTCTTGCAATGCTTGATAGAACTACTTATGAAGAAAGAAAAATTTCATTTTTATTCTGCACACAAGCATTACTCGAAGCTAAACATAACTAATTAATTTTGACATGTGTTTTATCAGAGCTCTTCTTTACCAAACCTACATGTTGGCCCGTATGATTCACTCAAGTTGTTCTGACAGTTACATCTTACAGAGTGGAAAGATACAGCAAGGCTGAGTGACACACTGTGTGCATGTCCTTACGATGGGAGTTCCTTATGATGAATGTTTCTGTGATTCATGTTTTTACAAAGAATGCCAAAGGGATGACTATGGATACATCAGTTGTCATAACTTGTAGTTCAGTTAACAATAGTGGAGTAACTGTTTAAAAAAACAGCTATTGTACAGGAATGTTCAGTTATGTTTGCTTTGCAAGACTTCATGCAAGCATGACGTGGGATGTCCTAGACATGTCTCGTGACTTTTGAATCACTGGGGTAAAAGGTCTGCTGCAAGTAAGAACAGATTTGTTGTTAATCAGCCCTGTCTGCAGGCATTCCTACAGTAACATACACGCTTCTGACTGAACATCTTTTGAACAGCAATGTTCAAAAACACTTTTCATTTAGCTACCTTGCTAGCCTGCAGTGCTTAGTTCCCCGTCAGTCTATGGAAATACGTTAATGGAACTGCAAAGAGAGAAATTGTTCCGATACGTGGACTTCTCAGGAGGACATAGAGCAGAGTCTATCACCATAATGAGGGCTTGATCCTGGTTCTGACATCACCTGCATGAAGGTCAGAAGTGGCTTTAGTAATATGAAAGTGGAGAAAAAGAAGTGGTGAGGCACGATGCATTGAGTCGGTTCAGTCAGACTGTTAGGAACTGCTTCCCTACATCAAATGACAGTTGAGCTGTTTCTTGATAGGTGGGGATGACTGGAGTGGAACTGGTGAGATGATATCTGCAACAATACCAAACAGGGAGACCCCTAAAGCATTCCTGTTTGTGCACTTCCTTGTATGAAGCAATTAAATTCATAGTAAGAAGTATGAATAATTCGTTTCATTATCAGTAATAATATTGTGATCCTAAAGAGCCACTAGTACTGATTACCAATTTAGCCTGTTCCTCTGTAATAAATTGGAGAGAGATGCCTGATTTACAAACAAACCAAAAAGAATTTTGCTTCTATTCCCAAAACATAATGCCAACAGGATATCATGAACAACAGGAGGAAACTCATTGTTGAACTCGTACAGAAGGACAATTGAGAGAATAGTAATCTCAAATATGGTATCTGGCTTGTAAATCTATTTCATTCTATTCTAATTATGCAAGAACTATGAAGCTAGTTTGAAAACAGTCGTTAGGCAAAGAAGTTTGATGAATACAGGAATTTATTTTTTGTTCTTTTTAAGGAATGTTTCCTCCCTTCCTCCAGGCTGACTTCTATACTATCCCCCATTAGGACTTGATACATTAATGCATTTCTGCAAACAGGTAAGAGACTATTTTTGACCACAAAACCATGATGGAGTTGGTAAAAACAGAGCTACCTTGAAAATGTAATAAGAGATCAGCAGTTAACTGGGAGGACTTTTTCATCCAAAAAGATGAAAAATATTAAATCAACATATATTGAAAATTAGGCTATAGTTTAAGGAATATTTTCTTAAGCAAGGAGGAGCTGGTTTTAACTCACATCAGTTCCTTAACACAATTACTGTACGTCTATAAATAAGCTGTATCACTGCTGCAGGCTATTTTAATAAGCATCCACATCGAAATAAATATCCTAATATTAAGTAAGGTTTGGGGAGATCAGTTTAAATCTTGCTGCCCAGAGTGAAGGTAAAGACTTAATTCTGATTAAGACAGCGAAGTTGTGCTGCCAACACTATGTACAAGTATGTAAACTTTTGGTTTCCCATGCTAACATACTGAATGTGAGAAATGATAGTGCTGAAATCTGGAACCTCGCATCAAGCTAATGAGCTGTCAGAGCACACTTACATAAAAAAAAATTAAGTTTAAGGTACTGCATCAAAAAGGATGAACTCTCTGAGAGGCTGTGAAGAGGTTGTGTAGTTATTAGATATTTATGCATCTATTGATACTCAGATCTGGCTTTATTTAATAAATAGTAAAAGCAGTAATGTTCTCAACACTTTTCTAGGAAAAGTGGGCACCTATTTTCTAAGCTGTATGGCACAACTGCAGCTTTTCCTGCTATACGGAGGAAGAAATTAGAAAATGTGATCTGTACTAAACAGTAAGGATACTTTGCTGCTTAAAATTGTCTGATACAACCCAAGAATCAGTAGTTTCTCATGCTTAGTTTCTCATTGTAGTATAAGATAATGAGAACTCTTCTGTTAAATCAAGCAATGGACAAATGTTCAGATACTGTTTCCCCTGAATTCCCCCCAAGGTAATTTTTCTCATTTCTTCAGCTCTGTGGTGAACACGTTTTTGCCTCTCTCCCTATCTTTTTATGTCAATACTGAATCAAAATGTTATATTCTTTTTGATGTGACTGAAAATGTGGTGACATGCTGTGTGAAAATTTCTATAATTCATTAATTCATAATCCTAATCCAGGATCTACTACCCATGAGAACTAAAACCAAATCTGTATTCTTATATTCAGTCCTTCTAAAGATTCTTACATTGCACTGGTTCCAGGCAGGGAAAGGAATAAAGAAATGGATAATCTCTTCAGAATTTTCCATGTGCTGTGTACAGAGAATAGTGGATCAAGTGTTTTAAACAAAGGAAGGAAGGAAACTTTGATTTCTTGCCAAGAGATTGAAACCTCCTGATCTCTTACCAAGTAAGTTTATTTTGCTGCCAACAAACCATTTCCTCACCTTAAACAGCTCCTTTTCATCTGTGAAACTAAGAGCAGTGAGGGAAACAGGCTCAGCAGAATGGCAGAGTCTGCTCTAGTTAACGTAGGGGTGATTGACATTCAAATTTGGATA